CATTTGTGGATGTGGCTGAGAAGAATTAGGAGGAGACTAAGAATCATAATTCTAACATAGCAGTAAAGTGAAGAGGTATTAATAATTTGTCATGGCTCCTCCTCATGTCAATAAAATGTGGTTTTCAGGGTGTTAGTCTCAATATAAAGGGTGAGGAAAATAAAAGTAATTCTACTTGTCCCAGAGATTTCTTTTATTTGGACCCAGGGGCAAGTCCAAATTCTGAAACACATACTATTATAGTTGGTTCACTAACCAGAAACAAATTACCCTTTCCCTGAGAAAAATCTGAACGATTTTTTTGTTGCTAATCTAGAGCATGCGTATTTGTGAGAAAGAAAATTTTCTTTTGGAAAGAAATAAAAATTGTGAATATTAATTTATTTTTATTTGTTTAGAAGTCCTGCATCTCTAAACAGTTTTCATCATTTTTTGATATTCCCTAAGGAACACACAGATCCATCTCATCATAAAATGTTCAGGCAGAGCAGAAGTCAAAGCCCATGGCTGTGTCTCCATCATCTACCCCAGCTCCCACTGTCCCTCTCAGAGAAACCAGTTCTGATAGTTTAAGACGTATCATGCCAGCCTGTTTTCTTTCAATTATATATATATATATATCTTTGCATATAACTTGATGCAACTACACACACATTTACACACACACACACACATATACACACCCAAACAATTTGCCATGTAAACTGGGTTTATTTGAATTTTTTGCAACTTGCCTTTTGATTTTCATTTAATCAAGTGTCCTGGAGATATTTCTACCATAGAAAAAAGCAGAGAAGTTCATTTCATTCTTTTTGATGCCTATTTAGAACTTTGAAACTTTCCATCATTTGATTAATTACTTTCCTATTGATGCAAATTTTTTCTATTTCTTTGCTGTCATAAAGAGTATTGTCTTATACATCTTTGTAGATTCACTTTTGTATGGAAGTGTCTGTTTTAATGAGATTTCTGAAATTGGAATTGCTATGTCAAAGGAAAGGTGCATTTAAAATTTTTGGAGAAAGTGACAATTTTCCCTGGTTTTAAATAATTATACTCCAACCAACAGTAAATGAGAAGGCTTGCTTTATATCTTTGCACAAATTGGGAATTACTAGTATTTTTTATTTTAACAATCCTAATTTATCTTTGTGCAACTTTATCTATATGCATCTTCCTGATTTCTAGTGTTATGAGCAATTTTTTTCTCCATACATTGGCACCTGTTGTTCAAGTTTGGTCACGTGATTATTCCTACCTTTTGACCATTTTTCTGCTAGGTTATTTTTCTTTTTCTTTGTAGGAATTATTTCTATATCTTAGATAGTTCTTTGCTTTTATATTTGTTTGAATATTTTATTCTAACACACTACCTTTTATTTTGTTTATTTTTTAATGTGGTTGTTTTTAATTTTTACATTGTCAAATCTATCAGGTATTTATTTTTTTTTGGCTTCAAATGTCAGTATCTTTTTGGAAATCTCTAACTATATTATATCTTTTAATCTTCATTACCGTTTGGTGAAGAATTATTCTGATATTTATGTTACATATTAGAAAATTAAGCCTCAAAGAGGTTTAAAATGTTGCCAATATTCACAGTCTTAATAAGTGTTAGCATCAACTTTTTAACTTATTTTTAAATCTGAAACTGTCAAGCTCCAAGATCTGAGCCTATGTTGTTCAATCTTGCCTTACTGGAAGCAACAATAAGAAGGAAACCTCCAAATAATGAATCAAATGGAAGTCAGTGGAATGGATCACAGTACCCATCCCAGAAGGTGATACACATTTTAGAGCAAAATGTCATAATGTTAGAGTAGGAATCATGAGTTATGAGTTGAGAAAAGCAATGGTCCCTAATCCTATAAAGAGATAGTGCTAACCCCCTAAATATTCAAATGGCAGCAGAAATACCTGTTGATTGTAGAGAGATTCTGAAGCATCCTTAGCTCTGTATTAGCCATGTATTTTCCCAAGCAGAAAGGCTAGAGAAGAAATTAGTACACAAAGCAGAGAAAACAGGAGAGAGGGGCTCTGATCCTTGATGTGAGTGGCGTTCAGGATATTCTTGGATCTTCACAAAGACTGAGAAATTTGTCCTGGTACGTAGGATGTGTACACAAATGTAAATTGCTATGATTATCATACTTTGGAAATTGCTTGGATTCCATGAGAGAGAGCCCAGGGAACAGATATTTGTACTCAAGTCTTAGAAAGTGCAGTGGGAGGGGCTAGTAGCAGTTTCTAAAGATTAGCATATCTCTTTCAAGATTCTTCCAGTTCCTTTCTTCACACTCATTTCCTCTTCTTCACAGGCTTTGATCTCACTTTCCCTTCCTTCTGTGGCCATCCTCTGCATCCCTATATTTGAAAACAAAGGTCTGAAACATATTTTTTTTTGTCTGTTTTGTTTACTGACATATCCACAGTAACTAGTACAGTACCTGACAAATAGCAGGTACTCAATAAATATTTACTGAATAAATAAATACTCATGACTGAAAATTTTAGTGACAAATGCTAGAGATACAATAAAATACCAGGGGCATGAGTTAGATCTTCTACAAAAATACAGGAAAGAGCTCAAGAATATCACATGCATATAGTAATGAAGGTAGGGATATATTTCAAAATCTCTATTTATTCCTGTACTCATTAATTCTTTTCTTCCTATTTTCCTTTCTTCTTTCCTCCCTCCTTCTCTCTTTTCCTTCCTTCCTTTATTCCTTTTTCCAATCATTCTTAGTAAAATAGGTCCCCCAAGTATTTTGTTAAACTCTTCCTGTGACATTTCAATTCATTCCAATTCAAAATTCTCTTTATTTGTGAAATTTTTCATAGATCCTGCCAACTGGTATAAATTTCTCTATTAATACATTGTGTTTGTCACAAGGTGGTTGACACCAGATATTTTGAAAGGTTAGAATGGCATTTAGCTAGAATCTTCTATAAAGCGGCAGGGGATTCTCCTAACTTTACAAAAAATGAAACAGAAAAAAACAAAGAAAGATATTTAGACATCAGTTGATAGTCACAATCAATCCATTGCCACAACTACAAGCCAATGAAGGTGTAAAAGGTACGCATGTTATGCTCCCAGGAAACAGCATTTGCCAACGTTAAAGTAGCTGACAGATTAAAAAAAAAACTTTTCTTATGTTCTTGTCTTTTTCATCCCTGTTCAGAAATAATCCTCTACCAATCAAAAAAATCACGTGGCTGTCCTTACACTGAATGTTTTCTGCTTTAAAATATGTTGTTAAATTTATCTTCATAAATTACAAGATTAATGGGTAGTTTTTAACAGAACCATCATTAGTTCTACCACTAGTTTGACCATTAGAGATTTACCATTAGTATATGATCTCACAAGAAAATAACAAGAGTTAAGAACTCTGAGCTCCGTTGGCACATTGTATCTTTTGATTTTTGCTTTACTTTTACTTCCTACAAATAATACAGATTGAATCAGGAAGAGACTGTTAGCAGTGCACGCTGAGGATTCTAATTTCCCACAAACTCCTCCTGTTAAGCACGTCTGAGAGATTGATTCTAAAGTTAGGAGATATCTGATTCATTCCATCAGAATTGCATGAAATGGCTAACATGCTAAATGATTTTCAAATTAACTTGCCACCAGAAGTACATGGGAAATGAGAATTTTGGAAGAAACCAAATAACAAGTGTACACACATACGGCAGATGGAAAAGAAAATATCCTGAGCACAAGGAGGAGGAGAACACTTCTGAAAATTTATTTTACTAATTAGAACAAAGTTAAGAAAACTGCGTCATCAATGTAAGAAATAAGTGGTGACTATAAAATAAAGCAAAAATCTAAAAATAGAGAAAAAGCTGAAATGAAAGAGAAGAATAAGATGAGCAGATGGAGATAGGTGATAAAATAAAATTTTGTGATAAAATTTATACTGAACAGTATTACAATAAAAATTGAAAAAAACATTTGCACTATTTGCCATAGGTAAAGGATAGTATTTTCAACAAATGGTGTTCAATAATTTGTCATATGGAAAACGTATATCTTGGCCTTTACTTCAGATAGTGTGCAGATATGAATGTAAGAATAAAATACAAAGCTTGTAGAAGAAAATACAGAACTTTTTCATTACTTTGTGTTAGATAAATATTTCTTAAACAGAATACAATAATATTTAAGCATCAAAATTAGCCTATATTAAAATTGTCACTAAAATTAAGTAATTTCGGGGCCGGCCCCGTGGCTTAGCGGTTAAGTGCGTGCTCTCCGCTGCCGGCGGCCCGGGTTCGGATCCCGGGTGCGCACCGAGGCACCACTCCTCCAGCCATGCTGAGGCCGCATCCCACATACAGCAACTAGAAGGATGTGCAGCTATGACAGACAACTATGTACTGGGGCTTTGGGGGAAAAATAAATAAATAAAATCTTTAAAATTAAGTAATTTCAATAGTTAAAAGGATAGGCAATGAATAGAAGATATTTGCAACAAATATTATTGTCAAAAGGCTCATTTTGTTTAAAAACATCCTGAAATCAATAAGAAAATAAGCAAACTGATAGAAAAGGCAAAAGTCTTAAGCAGATATTTCTCAAAATAATGTCCAATAAACATGTCATTTCTATCAGGTACAGACGCAGACATAACTAATCTACACTGTTAGAAGTCAGGATGGTGTTACCCATGGGACAGTATCATCAAGGTCATAAAGGGAGCTCTGGCGTGTTGTTAAGGTTCTGTTTTTTGATCTAGATGTTGGTTATAAGGGTGTGTCAATTCTGTGAAAATTTATCAGGCTATACACTTACAATATATTACACTTTCTTATACGTATATTATACTCCAATAAAATCGTTAAAATGAAACAGTGGCCTCATATTAATTATAAGGTGACATGTGAACTAAAATTAAAATTTCAGGTGTTTTCATTCTAGTTTTCCTTTTTTGTGCCTGAAATATTTGAGTAAGAGCACATTTGTTAAACAAGCATAACTTCAGACCATGGGTAAGCTCTGGCTCTGTTAAAAGACCATAGATGAGAAAGAGAGCTCAAAAAGATAATAGTATTTACAATTGCATCAAAAAAGAATAAAATATCTAGGAATAAATCTTACCAAGGAGGTGAAGGACCTATACAATGAAAACTACAAGACATTATTGAAAGAAATCAATGATGACATAAAGAAATGGAAAGACATC